AAAAAAAAAACTGAAAAAAAAAAAAAAAAAGAAAGAGTGTCGAAACCAGCGACGGAATACTCCTCCTTTCTTTTTTCCGTCCTCTCTTTTTGCTTTTTATCTCACCAAGGCCTCGGTCTCACACACTCGGCGAAACAAAGTCCCTGGGCAAAAAAAAGAAAAGAAAAGAAAATCAATTCGTGAACGAGAGAGAAGATGAACCTAGCGCATAGACTGCGCAAGCCGGAACCCGAATTCGTACTCGTGACACGACATGACCGACCAGGCCTGGAAGGAGGGGAGTAGCGGTAGCAGCAGTTCGTATATGATGTATGCTGGCTGAACAAGCGAAGTAGGCTAAACTCGCTAAGAGTGCGCGACGGTGTAGATCTCCATCTGAAGATTAATTAATGCCAGATTTTCGGGGGCAAGAAAAGTGTGAGAGAGGGCGATCGACGGACGAAAAGGGAATGACGAACTGAAAATTGAATCTCTCGGGTTGGATCTGTTTAATGATTGACGATGAAGAGAGGAGAAAAGTGAGAAAAAAGAGTGACCGAGGAGAAAATGAAAAGGAATGGGGTGGAGGGAGAAAGTCACGCGGTTCGTTTACCCTTTTCGGGAGTGAGTGGGTGAGATTGCAGAGGATACTCTGTATATATGGACATAATATGTACGGAGTAGTATACAGGGGCACATTCATACAGGGTATTAGATATGAAAACAAAGGAGTCAATCTGTATGAGCTGTGATGTAGTGCCACTACCATTACTACCACTGCTACCACTACGTACTATGTAGGATGGAATGCAGGTGTATCATCGAAAAGTATGCTATGCTAGCTGCAAAGAATCTCAGCCATACAAAACATCCTGAATTGAAACTGGGGCTGATCGGAGCTGATTTTTGAGGTGTTCTCCAGTCATATCATATTAAAATCACCAGCATCCATTTTATTCTTAGTAGCAAAAGCGTTCCTCCGGCGCATCTCAATGGAGCCCTCCGAATGACTATTGAAGATCCGGCCGGACTATTAGGGGAATATCTTCCCTTTTCCCCCTTTTGTCGGCCGTTAACTGCCATTGCTTCAGGCAAAAATAGAATCTTATGGAGTCATAATAAAATTGAAGAAAGCCTCGGAAAATAATCGTCGTCATATTGGCTCGAACCACATGACCAGAAAAGGAGAACTACCTCCGTACATGTAACAGGTGCATGATTCAGGTACCAACATCCACTGCATATCATCATACAAGTACTGCATGTAATCCGTAACTCGTTACAATAATAACCTCGTGAAGTCCATGCAAAATTACCAGAGCTTGCAAACAGGCTCTCGACTCGGGCATTGAAATGCTTCTTTAAATTCCCGAGAATTCGCCATGGTTCCCTATAGTGCCGTTAGCCCCATACTACTATCCGAAAATGAAAACGTTGGAGGGACTTACAATAATCCGGGCAGGCTTAGGCGCATGTGGGTCATTGTAAATAGCTGACTCGGCCGCCTCTTTCGTCGTCTTACTACACCACCAATTGGCATACGATATGAAAAACAATTGCTCTTTGCTAAACGTCGACAGGCCTGGCAAAAGAGAGTCAGGCTTGGACTCGTCGCGCTTCTTCCATGCATGGAACGCCGCTCCAAGGCCTCCCGCGTCGGCAATATTCTCGCCTAGGGTCAGGCGACCATTGACGTGTAGTGGCTTCAAATCCGGTCCGGTGACGGTGAATTCGGAGTATTGATCGACAAAGCACTGTGCGCGCTCCTCGAATCCAGCCACTGTCTTTTCATCCCACCAATCGGTATAATTGCCAGTTTCATCATAATGGCGGCCGCTTGAATCGAAAGCTGGAAATGGATGTTAGCAATCATCTTCGTTCCGCAATACACCATACTACTCACCATGCGAGAGCTCATGTCCACTGACCGCTCCAAAAGCACCATAGGTCAAATACAAAGGCGCGGACGGTCCGTAAAACACAGGAGACTGCATGATTCCAGCCGGAAAAGCAATTTCATTACCAGGTGGATTGTAATATGCGTTGACGGTCGGGGCACTCATGTCCCACTCATTCCGATCAGTGGGCTTGCCCAGTTTGGACCATAGTCGTTGGATCTGGAATTCGGCAGTGGCCAGTTGGTTTTCAAAGAAGGTCTCATCGGACAGCTTTAAGTCCCGATAATATTCTTCGATATCGGATGGGTCCATTACGTTCGGGCTCTTGGTGGGATATCCAATCTTCTGAACGATGTTACCGACTTTCTGAATACCCAGCTTCTTCACTTCAGGGGACATCCAAGACGATTGGTCCAGTGTAAATACGAAGCGCTCCTTGATGTCGGAGATAATCTGGTCGCCAAGTTCCTTGGACGCACGGGAAAAGGAGTCAAGGACATAGAATCGACTCAAGCTCCAAGGAAGACCCCCATCGAGCACATTGATGCATTTACGCCACCTCTCTTCCGTGGCTTGAGGATCCTTGCCATCCAGTTTGTTGTTAAATTCCCGGAGCGGTCGGACCTTGGGGTCTTCGATACTGTCCGCAAACGATTGGATTATCTTCCATTTGAAGAACAGCTGTACAGTCTCGCGGGATGATTCGCTGAGGATACTCGACAAAGACTCCATGTATGATGGCGAACCCACAATCAAGCGATCATTCTTGTAGTCGGATGGGGCCAGTACCGAGATAATGTCAGACAATGAGATCTCCGGCAACAGAGTTTCGGTTTCGTTGATGGTTCGGGGGTTGTAAGACTTTGTAATATCCTCGCGGGTCTGCGTATCAGGCGTGGCATTGGCGAGTTTTGCCTCAAACGTCACGACATCCTTGATACTCGCTTTGCTCGAAACAAAGCTTCCTAGTACTTTCTCAGCAACCTTGGTATACTCGGCCACGGTAACCGTGTTATTATAGTACTCCCTCGCAGGGAGTCCAATCTCATCTACCGGGACAATGAAGATTACAACAGAGTCCGGATCACGATCATCGGGCTGCACATGTCAGTGAAATCCAAACGTAAGGGAGTTTTGAATAGTCAGATAGGGTTCGTTACTGAAACAGATGGAACGACGAGTGCCTCAACGTCAAACTTTATCAGTTGCAGTACAGCGTCTGTTAGGTTTTTCTTGACATCCCGGTCAGAAACTCCCTTCACGGAGTAAACGTTCTCCAATTGGGCCAAAACATGCTCCAGCGGTTTGCTTCCGCGGTTGCTGATAGTGGACTCGTCCAAACACGCTTGATATGCCGCCCTCAACTTGCCAAAGTTCTCTTTATCTTCCGATGACAGTGCGTCCGGGGCCTCCAAGATATGACGAAGTCGCGTCTGGGCGTTCTCTGCCATCGAAGTTCCCGCGAAAATGGACCCTTGATCCGGACGCATATCATGACGAGCTCGCCAGCCTCCGCAGACATATTGATCGAAGTCACTGCAGGGGTCGACATTGGCGAAGTTGGGGTCTAGGTTGTAGAGGATTTCTGAAGCCGCATGGACACACTCGGGCGATTTACAAAGCGCAGGGGCGTCAGGCCGTGGTGAGTTCTCGCATTTGCGGTGTACCTCTATATTTTGACCGTATCAGCGATGAGAGGAACGATTGGGGAAGGAGGCGAGAGTCGGTACCAGAAAAGAAGTTCCAGAAAAAGTAACCACTGAACGCCAGGAGAAAAGCTGCACTCAATCGAAGAAATGTAGACAATCGCTTTCTATGCTTATCAGGCACATCTCTAGTGGGATGTCGGAAGAAGCCATCGGCGGTGAATTGACCAACTCGCGACGATCTATGGGGGGGTAGATGCTCTTCATCCCCGGTAGATGATACTTCTTCTATGAGATACGCCATTTCAGGCTCATCCGAACTCCTAGCAGAATTAGTCTCGAACGAAATAAGAATAAGGACAGTGGCTGTGTTCAACGCACTTGAAATTGGACATGGTGCACTTCCAGGGGCAATCACGAAACACCTAACCCACTTAGCACGAGGGAAGCCAAGTCTATACGATATTCAAACAAAATAACATTGAGGTTGGCTTCACTTGGCACGAACTCACCCAATGCGTTGAAACTGCCACGACTCGGGCGTAAAGTTATATTAAGGGTGATGAAGGCGATTGTAATAGCGGTGGTGATGGTGATGGTGATGCAGAGTCACATGTCCAGCCTCGGATGAGTCAGCCAATAGGCGGTCGAAAATTGAATTCGGGATCGAAAACATCATCATTGAAACGCCCATTTTTGAGAATATGAAAGTCTGGGGTTGTTGGAGTTTCGGGTAAAGTAACCACAGTTCGACTGTCTGAACCCCGGATCCACAACTTTGATAACCTTAAATCCAATGAATGGTAACGGTGAATGGTTCACGATTGGAAACGCATGGGGTAGGACCCATCAGCAATTGTAAACAACAGAGTACGTATTATTCCCTACAGAACTCCGATCAAATCACGTGGTATACAAGAGTTCATGGTCATGTGTTTGAATTTCGATAAGGACGAGCTATTGGTTGTACGGCAGTTCCCGCTGCCATTGCTACTTACAGAGTAGGAGACTCGCTTTTCTTCTCTACCGAGGTACCCCTACTGCATCTGCATATCGTTACACGTACGGAAACTACGCGTATTGGTAATGGCTTGTACTCTAATGAATCTATCGCTAGGTATTCCTGAGCAAAAGGCACACTCACCCTGCATAAGATCTTGAACACCGCACTGATTTCTGGCAGGTTGGAGCGCAGTGGCAGTACGGAGTACCCTTTATACTATGTACTATGGACAAGTATGTCTGTTCCCTGTTTTGTGCAGTTTGCAGAACACGGATAGAATCCGCCAAAAAAGACCCGGAATTCTCTCGACAGAGACCGCAAGGTTCAACTCATTGGGCAAAGATCAACACGGCTAATTTGTAGGCTGAGAAATGCCGGCGAAAATTCAGGCCAATGCATCCTCATCTCCGAGCTCCTTTAGATAATTTTTTTTTTTTTTTGCAGAATTAAGAAAAAAGAACCCCTGTCCGTGGAGAATGCTTAATTTTGACCAATTCCTTTCCCTTTTCAACGGATTTTCCAGGTTCTGCAGTGGAGCTCAGGGGAATAGCATTCCCCTGTCATGGAAATTAAGCAGGAGACCCAATAGTAAGACGGTGGTACCAGTGGTCGGACGGAAGAAAATTACCGGGCCAGAGATTGACACATGACAGGAGTGGAGTGCCAAGACGAGCTTTTGGTGATGAAACGCCACCGGGGAGAACAGTGACCGGGAACACGCCTACCAAACACGTGGTGCGGAGAACTGCATACTCCGTGCATCGAGTCATGTGGTCATGTGCCGGGAGCACGCATGGACGGAACATTCTGGATCGAAACACTGGATATTGAGGAAAGGGAGTACTAACCGTTGTACCAGACCATGCACAGTGTACTTTGGCATCCTAGCACAGAGTGAATATAGCATAGATCGAGTCAGATACGATAGATTACGGAGGCGCGCTTGTTCATCAAAATATCGCTAAGGTGTGACTGGTCCGCCCAACAAACAAAAGAGTACAAATGTCCGGGCTGGTCTTCCGTGGCGCGGCAGTCCTTCCTTCTGCAAAGTTGATCTTGATAAAAACGACCCCGTTCGCTGCGAGCTGATTGGTCGCGCCACATCGGCGACCTGATGGCGCAACATACACGATGACCCGCGATATTGTATGTCTATACGAGGACATAGGAGAGAGTACTTTGTACAAAAACGAGCGTTATATATCCTATCTGGAGGACACATGCAGGTGATTCCTGCATGAAATTAGATAAAATGGTACTACAATCCCTTGTATATATCACATCTGCGCTATTGAACTTCTGTTGTGACATGTACAACGTACCGTAACCATACGGTAATACCCTTGTTTAGCGCGCGACGGGTGCGGAACTTGAAACCGGAACGCCGGATAAGCCGAGCCCGAGGCCCCCACGCGGCTTCCAGAAACATACAGATGTACAGGTGCATGTATCAGATTACAGTAAAAGTACGAAGTATGCGAATAAGTCATGATGATAGTCAAGTATACAAAGTACAAAGTATATAGCATAGTATTTGTACCCACAAATGAATGAATACATCTCATTGTCCAACAAAGACTAGCAACTGTCAGAAAGTAAGGTCTGGCCCATGTCTGGATGAATTGCTGATCTTCTGTAAGGTTGGATGTCCACGCTGATTGATTGGATGCCGGCGGACAATGGAATTTGTCAGGTGTGTACAGAGTACAGAATAACCAGAAGTCTCTATGGGGTACTGCCCTACTGCTTGTACTAGTATCGGTAAGCAAATAGAGTATCCTGGGAGCAGAGATAATCCAATCCTACAATCCACAGCCGGACCAAAGAGAGTTCGTGGACCGCAATAGAATGGGATTATTGAAGACAATTTCCTACCTAGAATGGCCGATCACTGCACGCCAATTGGGGCTTGTCAGCATGAGTGGGCAGCAATTCAGGTCATAATGGGAGAAAGGATGTTATTATTATTCAATGGCTCTGTCAGGGCTGTTCTGAATGACTTGTATTTTGGGTTGAGATTGTACCATCCATACCCGAGTACGAGTCAATCATCCGTGAAGATGTCACCATTTCGAGAATAGATTGTAGGATTCGTACTCTACTCTGTACGAAAGAAAGGGGAAAAGTGAGAGAGAAAAAGCAATATAATCCAATTCATGAAGATAAATTACAGAGTACAAAAAAACAATACTAACATCTCGCCTCGATCGCATCTTTTTCTTCCACTCCCCCCTCCCCGCCGGTGGATTGGGTGGGACGGCTCCGAGAGATTGTACGACTTTCACTTCCCCGTCGGGCTACTGCTCTTCTCGGCCTTCTTCTCTCCTCCACTCTTCTTCATGGTGACTCTTAACGTCCTCTATTCTTCTTCTTTTCTTCACCTTCTCGCGATAATTATATCCTAACACATCCCTGTCGTATCGACTACTGCTTCAGACCCGCTTCGACAGCGGCAGTGCAATAATCGTCCTCTTCCTCCAATCCGAACCCCGTTCTTCGCTGCAAATACCCTCGATTTGCGCTGCAGTCAACCACGCAGGTGTTACCGACTAGAAAAGAAATACCTTGCGCCCGCCCGAAGACTCCAATTATCTGCGAGGGGACCGAGAAGAGTATCCCCCTTCTTCCGCTCGTCGTTAATCACAGCCCGCGCCTATCCTCCCTTCTCCAGGCCAGTGTCGATTTACTTCGTGTCGCATCGCCTCGATCCGGTATCGAAAACTCTTTGTATCATACCTAGTCAGCTGCGCTGTCTTATATAAAAAGTGTTGGATATAATTCCTGGGAGTCGATCGTCCCCGGAAGTCGTCGGAGCTATTCGCGACACCACCAAACGCAGGAGCGTGTTCACTTCTATCATCGAATCATTTGATCCCAAGTATCTTTGGGTCTCACCTGTATGTTGCCTACTTTACTCTGGAATATACTCTCGGGAAATGGGAAATGTTGGGTCCCCGTCAATGGCATGTCTAAACTGACACGCTGCTTGCGAAACAGAATACATACCAATCCTACTTTATCTCTCTAGGTCAGTATATGAAACATCCGTCGGTCAGTGTCTTGAGCCTTTTCTTTTGGGTGGTCATTGGCATTCGTCATGATCCTCTGATTCACCCGCTCAAGAATCAGTGCCATTTTTCTCGGATTCGATATTTAGACAACCTTACGCGGCGATAACAACTGCTAACGTGGTCCTCAGATCCGATTAATACGGTTATCAACTCACGATGGGTTGTATGAGCTCCAAGACCGCCGATCCTGTGGAGAAGGAAGCGGTGCAGCGAAATGCTAGGATAGAAAGGGTTCTGAAGGGTGATAAGAAAAACATGGACCGGACGATCAAGATCCTGCTACTTGGTGCGTATTGACCAGAACATTTCATGATATCCTCATACTCATTGATCATGATTAGGTGCGGGAGAATCTGGAAAGTCCACAATCATCAAGCAAATGCGCATCATTCACGCGGGCGGTTTCCCGGAAGATGAAAGGCATCAAACACGCGCCGTCATCTATGCCAATCTGATCATAGCTTTCAAGGTCCTGTTGGATATTATGAACGCAGAGCATATCAGCTTCGAGCATGATTCGACAAAGGTCAGTAGCACAGAACATCAGAATTCGTTCGCTTTGGCTGACTTCTTCCTAGCCACTGGGCCAGCTCGTCGACAACACAGACCCTGACGTGGGATCTGAAGAAGCGTTCTCAGATCTGAAAATCCGTGACGCCATGAAAACTATGTGGAATGATGCTGGAGTCCAAAAAGCCGTTGCACGAGGACATGAGTTTGCTTTGCATGACAATCTGCATTAGTAAGTTTTGGGCAACCACTTTTTAGCCGGAATCAAATTGCTGACCTTTGGTTTTAGCTACTTTGATTCGATTGACCGTCTTTTCATGCCAGGGTGGTTACCAGACAACCAAGATATGCTGCAGGCCCGTCTGCGGTCCACTGGTATTACGGAAACCCTCTTTGAATTGGGGCAAATGAACTTCCGCATGATGGACGTTGGTGGACAGCGTTCTGAACGAAAGAAGTGGATCCATTGCTTTGAAGGTGTTCAGTGTCTTCTCTTCATGGTTGCGTTGTCTGGATACGATCAATGTCTGGTGGAAGACCAGAGTGCTGTGAGTACTGTCATTTTTCAAGTCATCTGACGATTGTTCCTAACTGTCATAGAATCAAATGCACGAGGCCATGATGCTTTTTGAGTCCCTGGCCAATGGCGAATGGTTCAAACGAAAACCCATCATCCTCTTCCTAAACAAGATTGATTTGTTCAAGGGGAAATTGGATATGTCGCCAGTGGCCAAACATTTCCCCGATTTCACCGGCTCGAATACCGATTTCGATGCGGCTGCACGGTACTTTGCCGATCGATTCCGTGGTATCAACCGGATACCTGATCGTGAGATCTACATTCATTACACGAACGCCACCGATACGACATTGCTCAAGGCTACCATGGACTCAGTCCAAGATATGATTATCCAGAAGAATCTCCATACCCTGATACTCTAAGCCTTTCTCTATATTTTCTCGGGGCGACTGGCGTTTATTTTATGAGATTTTCCGCTGGCATGAGAACCAGAATTTCGTTTTCTTCCCAAGTCTATCACTTCGCATTGCATTTCAGCGTCTTATACTTCTTTCTCTTCTTTTTTCATTTTTTGCATCTTGATTGATATCATTTTTCTTCTGGATTCTTTTTCTTAAGAGGCGCTTGATAGCGGCGTCCGTGTGGACTATTTTCGATTTTCGTTACTACCATTTTGCATTGAGGCCTATGCCTATGCCTGGGTATATACTTCGATTTGGTGATATTTTTTTTTCTTCGGGGTACAGGCGATACCTTCCTTTTTCTTCCTTGCTCTTCTACCACTGCCTTTTCAGGCCTAACGACTGTCATCCTTTGCTGTTTTTTTATGTCACCGTCTCTTTGCTACTGTTTCGATATCTGTATACCATTTTCTTTTGGGTGTATTTTGTTTACCGTCCATTCCGCTCAGGTAGTGTCTAATATGTGATTTTTATCGGTGTAACATTTATCTCAAATTTGAATCATCTTTAGTTTTACGTTTGCATATATATTTTTACCGCATCTCAAGGTATATATTGCAGTTGGTGGTATCAGCTGTTCTGAATAACCATTAATCCGCAACTCGAAAGTCCTCAGATGACTATACTCAATTCACTGGTTATTTCTTCATTCTTCCATTTCCATAATAATTAATACTGCTTGCATTTTATGTAGGATGATATGATGGCCATCGTGACCTGCTTACATAATCACCGCATGATCATGACCCCGATTCCGGTCCGCCTCGAATTCGCCTCTTCCGACCCGAATCTGACTTCTTCCAACAACACCACTTGGTTGTTTCTCCCAGCAATTCTGGGCGCAACTTCAATACAAAATGCTGTCGTCCTCATTACGTCGGGCGGCATGGACACCCATCGTGCCCATCTCCGGCATTGCCCGCACAGCAGTTGGCGCAGCCGGTGCAGCGGCCGGTGCTAGCGCTGCTGCGAGTACCACCGTCTCGAACAACACAAACGGCGGATTGATGCCGCAGTACGTCCGTCAGCGTCGGTATTCGTCTTCGTCATCGAATCCTAGCGACGGGTTTGATGCATCGGCTCCGTCGTCGTCGGGGCAAACACCTGCGAAAGGTGTGAATGGCGGTGCTGGGGAGAGTAAGCGGGAAGGGAGGAGAAGTCGGAGAGCGGGGAAGGAACAGCGGTCTGCTCAGCAGCAGCAGCATGATGCGGCGTTCTCGAAGTTGCCGAGTGTGCCGTCGACGCAGTACCAGCAGCCGCATGGTGAGTAATTTGCGATGGGCATAAAGTGACAAATAAAAACCTTGCTAACGAGCGCATAGATGTGCATGTAGCCTCGTTCTTCTCGATCCATCGTCCCATCTCCGTCTCTGCGACCGTGCCCCCGTCATCGAACCAAGAGGCGTTCGACGCAATCTTTTCCTCGAAGAAATCAGCCAAGGCTGAGCAGGAGGATGTGATGCTCACGCTGTCCTCCGCCGTCCAATCGATGGAAAACACCGCGGGCGAGCACGATGACCTCGGCAGACAGCTCGAAGTGGACGTGCAGCCGTACGACTCGATGAACATGACCGATGTCAAACTCTCCGTCGACGAACTCGCCAAGCGCCTCCGCCCATTCCATCCTCCGCCGCCGCCAATGCCCTTCGGCGAGGCCAAGGAAGCTGCCAACGCACGCCAATCGGAACCCTCCCCCCGGGAGAACTCGTACTCGACCGTCCTGACCATCCACGAGTCCACGGACGCCACTGGCCGCAAGACATACGAGGCTCACACCACCCCATTCGTCCGAGATGCCCCAGGCGCCACGGAGCACGAGGAATTAATCGACATTCCTGAGAACAAGGGAACCACCTATATCGAACGTCTGCGCAACAACCACACGATGCACGCCATCAGTACCAAGAGACGGCGAAAGGCCAAGATGAAGAAGCACAAGTACAAGAAGCTTCTGCGGAACACAAGAACCCTGAGACGGAAGCTTGATAAGGCTTAAGCAAGCCTTTTTTTGTTATTCGTCGTTATCTTCCCTTTGTACTTTATACATCCGTTTTCCTTATTTCTCATTTATTTAACGTCTCTCAGATGTTTCGTTGACATCTAGATATCCCATGGTGGTACGAAATCACAATTGTTGACTATTTCTTTCATGTTCATGATCGGTTTATCATCTTATCCTTACAGCTCGCATCTATCGTCTCTTCCTGTTTATCTACCTAGATAAACCTCTGCTACAGACTACCATTATGAATGAAGAACATTGCATTAGACGTTGTCCCTGTGATGGTTAATCATATATGCTATGGTGATCATTGTCTATGCCATGTGTCGAGTATAAACCAGGTCCCGAATTTAAATATAACAGGCTATCAATTCAGCGACTAAAAAGCAAAGGGAAAGCAAAAACCGAAAGACAATAACCCGTAAAGTACATTTCGACGTTGAAACAGGACATGCAATAATGTATCTAGCAGTAGCAAACAAGTCAAAAGACAAAGACAGAAGACAAACCACAACACGTCCTAATCTACAGTGAGTCGCTTTCCATCCCAAGCAACGCACATTCAGATATAAGAGAAAACCTTGTCCATTTTATAGGAAGGATTCAAAAAAAGTGGGCTAGCAAACGAGAAAGCACCTTTATCCAAACTCCTTTCAGTCCTAGTTGCTCAGGGACCCATCGTCTCCAGACGAATGCAGGGGATAGTAAAAGACTACACTGATGGAAACGATCTCGTATAACCGGGGAACTAGCGAGTCTCTGGACACCAAGGACGGATGTCTAGAGTTTTGCTTGATGCTGTTCGTTCACCGGAGAGGAGGCCGAAGCTCCGTTTAGCAGGTGGCGTCGATTCTTGAGCGGGAGTTCATCAGAAGGGCGACAATCAGACCGTACAGACCTATCACGGATGTTAATTAGTATGCCTTGAAACTGACGTAGACTGATAAAATGACTTACCTAAGACTTCAGCGAAAATGAGAATCAAAATCATTCCGACATAGAGTCTAGGCTGCTGAGCCGTGCCACGAACACCTGCATCACCGACAATACCAATGGCAAACCTGCACCAGTTAGTTCGAAAATCAATGCGAAATGACCAAATGTAAAATCACTCACCCAGCTGCCATACCAGCCAGACCGACAGAGAGACCAGCCCCGAGCTGAATGAATCCAGTGTACAATGAAACCTTCTGACCCAAATCGTTTGCAATCAAGACCGATACGACCAACCCGTAGATACCAATGATACCAGCCATGACAATGGGGACGATGTCTGCGAAAGTCAGCCAACAAATTCACCACCTCCACATTTGTTTCATCAATTCGACGTACTCTTGACAATCAGGTCAGGTCTGAGGACAGCCATTCCACAAACACCGACACCAGCCTTGGCAGTACCATAGGCGGCTCCGAAGCAGGTGAAGATGATAGCGGAGGCGCAACCCAGCGCACCGAAGAAGGGCTAGATTCGTCAATTATTAGCGACCACATGGTTTATTTGAAGAAGAATGATGCCATTCGATGCGTTGGGGATGGGAAACAATGGAGCCGGCGTCCGTGTCATAGCGATAAGAGCTCCGGGCGCAAGTAGGAAGCCAGGGAAATAGTAACTACTCACCGCATAGACGGGGCTGTTGAAAGAGAAGAAGTTAGAAACGAGAAATTTACGCGCAAAGACGAATGAATATGGATTCACGGCCTAGGACGCCAGAGGTAAAGGAGTTGATCCAAGGTTACGTACCAGAGTTCTGAGACCATTTTGACGCTAAATTGACGCGACAAACGTCGACGAAGATAAAAGAAGCTTGGAAGAATAGATTGAGATGTTAGTTCAGAGGATAAAGGCCTCAAGGACTAGCGTTGCGATGGATGCGAAGGCTGTTTGCAGTGCGAAACGGAGGTGAGGTTGGAGGCGAACACGCTGGTGGCTTCGGGACGGCTTAACCACCGCCTGCGCAACCACGTGATTCGAGCTTGGCATCGTCAGCTATCAGCTCCAGCCTCCAACTAGAATGGTCTACGAAGGAAGGGTTGATTAAAGAAATAGGGCTACTTGTACATTATCATAGAACATCGTACTCGTACAAAACTGATTTTCTCGTGCTGCTCATGCGAGAGTCAACTCCACCCGGCATCCCGGTACATTGAGCTTAGTACCTGATTCAAAAACTTGTTCGTTTGCTTGAGCGTCCATGATAGGCTGCTGATAGGTAATTGCTTTCTCAGACAGCGCTCCAAAGCAATTAGGAAGAACAACCAAGTCCTTCTGTTGTCCGTCAATCCTTTGTATTTCAGGGATTCCAGTTACGACCCCGAACTGGCATGAAATGGACCCTTCCCGGGGCTTCGCAATGTCCGGATGCTTATCCTGATCTTCACTCGGTTCTACTCCCACAAAAAACTGGACGTAGTCACCTGGTTTAGCTGTTTGAGAAAGAGTCGACAGATCCTCTCCAAAGCCTTTAGCCAAAAATGGCGGCAAATCAGGCGTAGGGTCTGCACTTTCTGCGCCAGGCTCGAACAACTGATCGACAGTCAATAATTCCTCGCGGTTTGCTTCCGAAAAGCTGATTTCTGGATCGAGAGATAGGAGACCTTGTTTCTTTCCCCAACCACCGCCACCGCTCATGACGTGGTGTAATTTACCACCTGCCCGAAGAGAATGCGACACACGATCCTGAAAAGAGCCAGCTTCAATCGGCACATCCATTTCAGGTGTTTCGACGAGAGCCCAGACAGACACTCTCTGGTCAACAATGCCATGCTCGTCAATGTAACGGGGCAGTTCCCTCTCCAACTCAGACGAAGCCGGCATTGGGGCATTCGATTGGGCGTCATCAGCGGATTTCGCTACCTGACGCAGAATGTTCCCCATCCCGGATATAACCTTTCTCCTGCGGCTGACTGGATACAGTGGAAACCGGAGGGTATTGAGAACGGAGTTCACGGAAGATGTAATGATACAGTTGGAAAGATTGACGTACTGATCCAATGCAAGTCGGCTTGATGTGGCATTATAAGTCCATCGCATACCGAAGAGAGTGTTTTCGTTGCCATTGATAAATATCGTGTTGGCGAGACGTAATCCGACTTCATGAGCCGGCCTGTCCGGTGTATTTGTATTAACCGAGAATACAAGAGCTGGCTCTTCGGTTCCCGAGCTCCTGAAATGACGAGTCTCAGCTGCTTTTCCTTGGACATTTTCCGCTTTCACGAATAACAGGGAGATGCCCTCGGAGTCCGACTGAGCTTGACCCCGACCACTTATCAACGCATCCCTAGATTGCCCACGAACATCAGGCAGTCTATCAATAATAGCCACAACCGCATGGAAAGGACTGAGGGAGCGGGCATTCGGAGTATCACAGAGAAACCGGTTTACGCATTGTTCAAGGAAAGAGCTTGCGGGGTCGATCCATGGCGCAAAGGTAGGGGTGACAAGGAAAATTGGAATATGGCCTGACTCTGCCAGCGAGGCTGGAATAGGAGGAAGGTTTGCGAGCACATCATTTGGGACCTTTTGAAATTGATGGGGTCAGTGTACCGCAGCGGGGAAAAAAAAAAAAAAAAAAAAAAAAAAAAAAAAAGAGAGAGAGAGAAAGCGGCACTCACAATCTCGTCCGGCGTCTTCGTAAGCCACGTGTACGCAAAGGATTGAGCCTCACGAGCAGACCTCGCCTGCGCCGTATACCATCTTTGTGCTGGCAGAGGATTTTGGGGGCAGAGCCAGCTCGCTTTCCTGAATGACAGTCGAAGCGGCTTCGACTGGATGGTCAGACGTGCTGGCATTGAGATCGGGACGCGCCCGGGTATCATGGACATGGAAGCATGGAGGACAGCAATTGCGTTGGTAAGTCAATGGGTCCTCAAACTGTCTTGAGTACTCAAGAATGCTGTATGCAACGATGATGCCGCTTATTGACGTCCATTTCGCTACTAATTAGGAAGGCGGTGTGAAGTCACATCCTCTACATAGTAGAACGACTACTGTGGCTTGGCGTAGAATATGACTGTCACCTGGTCTTGAAGAGTAAAGGGTTTTTGTACGATGTATCGAGTACAACGAGTATTCAGTACAGAGCTGTGGCACACGTTGAGGGTATCAAGGCTAGAGAAGAGGTGAGAGTGGCTGGTGTTATCCCGGCCATTTCCAGAGATCCGGAGAATGATCTAAGATTGAGAACATCTAATCTTTGGCAAAACCAGTCATGTTGTCTGCATGTTGTCAGGCGGATTCGTAAAATTAGAAATGTCCAGCCTTTTTGAAGCCACCTCGTAAGGCTGGATGGAGCTATGCAAAATTATGTGACGCTAATTTCATTCACCGCGCCAAGCATTTCCAGGCAACCAGAAAAAAGGACCTTGGCCTCTGTATGGCTTCTTGGGCTGCCAAGGCAGTCAAATATCCTTCAATTCACTGCCACAAGACTCTATAGGGCAACCCTGTGAAATAAGATAGACTGAGCCACTGTCCACGGTTTCAAGATGACGCAACGGCATGGAATGAAGAGCAGCGACCTCGTGCGTACACGGGGTACTCAGAGTACTACTCAGGACGCAGTCAGAGGGTCCGAGTCAATGAAGATCTCGTCTAGGCAGGCGGAAAATCTAACGTTTTCCCAACAGGGACACAGCCAATCAGTTTTCACTACAGCCACAGCTGGCGGGTGACCCTATGACGTTTGGGGCCCGCTAGGGACGCAGTGACTAAGCCCTGCGACTCTCCGCCTGTCTAATCAAGTAAGTACCGTGCCGTGGCCCTACGCCAGCATGACTCCGGCCACTCCCTTTCTGCCCCCTCTCTCCAAGCAAGTCGCACCGGCCGCCTCTCCATATTTAAGAAGTCCGTCACTGCTCTCCCGTCCCCGTCTCTCCTGATTCTTTCTCTCCTCCTATTTATTTTCGCTTGGCGCACTGTCTTTCGTCTCAAATCCTCCTTAATCTACTCTTTACAAAACAAATCTTCTTGAATCCCATCTGATCTCTATACCTTCATCGTCAAAATGCCTTTCACTGCTTCGTAAGTCGCCTTGTTATGTCCTTTCTCTGTCAGCTCATCTGTCGTCGCTGAATGACCGGAGCCGAATTCTTCGTTTATGCGACCGGATTTATGAGCTTGCATGCTAATGTAACGCCTAATACAGAGACATTTGTAAGATCATCTTGGCCTTCATCCTGCCTCCTCTGGGTGTCTTCCTGGAGCGCGGATGCGGCGCGGACTTCCTGATCAACATTTGCTTGACCATCCTGGGTTGGATTCCTGGTATCATCCACGCGATGTACGTGTTATGTCCGCTCCGAAAGTCTTCGTTTCAGCATAATTAACCACTTAACAGTTACATCATCTTCAAATACTAGAGAATGCCTAGCCCTCTTCGCCGCCTCGTGTGATTCCGTTCGGCGCAACCACGATATCACCGATCGGATTTCACAAGCCATCTACTCCCTACCGTCTAATACTTCTCTCATATGGTGCTCTGAATGGGAATGGTGTTGTCAGTGAGGTTCCGAGAAGATCCGGCCGAGACCGTGGCAGCCTAATATGCGGCCCCCGCTTACTTCGAAGCCCGATCTAAACGGCGGTGGAATTTTCTCATTTCCTTTACTAGTTTATGATTTGGCTCAGATTTGTTTTATGTCTTAGGATTTTCTGCTTTTTGTTTTTTTTTTTCTCTTTACGGATGATACCAACCCGTTTGTTGCGATACTGGGCCTTTTATTCCCCTGTTCATCGTTGTCAATGCTTAGTTTAATGATTGATGGCAATGGCAAGGCTTAATTCCTACGCAAAAACAACTACAATAAACATCACAGTATTTGCGCGTATTGACTCCGGAAGTTTCGCGATGAACCCGTCGCAAATAGGTTTTGCCCAGTCCAATTGTAAAACCCCATAGCACAAGCATATACATATTTCCGCGCCCGCATCTAGAACCAGTGAGGTTCTCGTAAAACCATAGCTTTATGCGTTTCGTGACAAATCACCTGATCTGACATCATCTGCAGCTTCGGCGCCAACACGGCGCGTATTGCTTCTGACAGCGGACAGCGGACCGTCAAATAAAACAATCCATCATCATCTCCAGGTCTATTATTATCGCGTTGTCAATCAATTCTTACTGGTTCCATCACGGCGCTAACAGAGGCAATCACTTCGCTCTCATTCGAGTTGACTTGGTTATGGAGCCAGTGCACTTAGCGATCAAGCACTATCCTTTTTTTTTTTTTTTTTTTTTTTTTTTTTTTTT